ACATGTGGACCTTTAATTATAAACAAATTAATAGCTTTCATAAGAGAGAGGGTCCAATCTGTCAAATTATTAGTCCTAGCCTCTCATTAGCAAAGGTTGTCATTAGATGAACAACAGGAATCAAAGATTTCATCTGTACATACGACCAGTGGGGAATGTTATAGGCGGCTTTAGCCCCTTAAAAATTAACCGGAGTTTGACCTTCCCTGGGAATTCGAAAAGTAACATCCTTCAGAAAAAGGGAGGACAATGATGGCCTTAGGGCCAGAGTGTCCTGCGTGTTCTGTAAACAAATTGATAAGGAGAAACCGAAGTTTCCTTTTACCCCATAAAACTGTAACTGTTAAGAATATATGTACTGCACCTGGCTAACTCTCTGTCACAAACTTGCTAGTTAGTGCTTGTTTAACCCTGATTATAAAAGGGCTGAAAGTCTGCTATGGGGGCTGCAGTTCTCGGTGTAGGTTGGCTGCAGTCCCTGCACAGGTAATAAAGCTCCTAATATTCAAAATTACTTTGTGTCCGAGTGAGGTTGATTCTCCTGGGTTACAACATATTTAGGTTTATCATTAGCGATATCAATCCAGACATCTATGAAGGGGGCCTGATCTGGGTGGCCAGGATTGCCGTATATTTTCCGTTGAACCTTAAAAGCCAATTGCAAATCGAAGCTGCCTTCGGGTGGCCAATCAACCTGAAGGTGGGCCAGTCGAGTTGACAGAATTTCTGTAAGTCAAAGGGCATTACCGTGGCCCTGTACCCAGTGGCTCATTTCTTAAAATCTTGGAAGTTATTAAGTACACATTGCAAAGGAGTCAGAGGCATTGACTAAGACTGGCCCGTAACGACAAGCGGAACAATGGACAGACACCAGCAGAGGCCAGCAAGGACTAAGACGCAAACAGTAAAACACAGATACTGGTATGAACGGAACTGAGGCCTGACTGATTCAGAACCCGGGTCTAGGGCGAGGTCTCCTCCTAGGACCCGGCTGGGAAAGTAATGCTGCGTCTAGCCTTCCTCCAGCCACCGGATGGCGCCAAACACAACTAACTGAAGGTTTGTACTCACCGGTGAGATTCAATCCAGATGGCTCATAAATCTGCTGTAGACAAATCTGTGAAGACCGTCCGGGAAGTCAAGGAGCCCGTCTGAGCGCTTGGGGCTGAGGAACGTCTCAGAGGCCTTCCCCTGGGCGGGACGATGTGTCCAGCCAAAGGAGATGAATGAAATGGATGGGCGCCTCATCCCGCAATTCCGTGAGGCCTGCTGCAGGCTGGGTGGGTGTCCAGGGCAGGTGTGCGGTCGGGACAAGGGCTGAATCAGGCTGGGATGGTTGAGAGGCCTCTCTGTCCTCCCCCCAGGTGAAGGGAGCAAGATGGATGGGCCCCTTATCTCATCAAGAGAAGAGAGGGGCCTTGGATATTTTTATCTCCTTTTCACAGGACCAAGAACAGGGGGTGGGGTGGGCTGGACACCCCTTCCGTTCACCCACGTGTGTTTGGTTGTTGCTCCCAGACCTCACGCCGGCTGCAGGGCTTGGACACAGAGCCAGCCAGGGTCCCTCCCAGGGAAGACGTTCAGTCCCATGGGGCAGTGGGGAGAATCCAACGATAGAATTGGGGGTGGCACCGGGGCAGCCAGGGCCCTGTCTGTCTATCCGGTTCTGCTAAGGAGCAGTGAAGACCCAGAGGAGGGCTGCTCCTCAGGCTGAAAGATGAGACACAGCTGCTCCCAGGGCCTGTGCTCACTGTCCTACCCTCCTCATCCTGAAGAGGGCCCTCGGGGACCAGGCCCAGGGAGGAGCAGGAAGTGGTCGTGGGCTCTAGTGAGGACTAACAAAAATAAATAAATAAACAAACAAACAAACAAACAAATAAATAAATAACTAGCTAGCTAACTAGCTACCTAGCTAGCAAAGTCTTTCAGCCTGTGACTTTTATTGACATCTTTGAACGGTTAAAGTGGGAGGTGCTTGGGCAGACTAACAATCCCAGGTGGTGAATTGAGAACAATTGGGTTGAGGGTCCTGTCCGGCCCAGCCCGGGTCCTGATGCTTGGGCAGGAATAGAAAATGAACAAACCCATAACACCATTAACATATGTGTGCTGCCTCAATGCCAGACTAATTAGAAAGCTGTCCAGTTTTATTGATCCTCAAGAAGGATGGAAGAAGTTAGCCGTAGCTATTACAAAACCATCTGGGGATGATGGAACAATCAGTTTCCCACAAGGAGATTTGAAGCATTACTTCCAACTGGGAAGTCCCGCTGGTGAGCTGCTGTTTGACTGGGCAGCACAGATTGCACATGAGGGTTTTGCTCCTGTAAGTCTTTTGCTACCAGATGAACCTGACATTTGAGACTTCTTTTTATTCTTTCAACTCTCCCCAGCTCAACAAGCACCCCAGACACAGGGCACGGCAGACTTACTTGCTGCTTGTAAAGAAGCTGTAACAACCCTGGCTGGTTCGGCTCAGTGGTAGAGCATCGGCCTGCAGACCAATGAGTCCTGGGTTTGAGTCCAGCCAGGCGGACATACCTCGCTTGTGTTTTGTCCCTGGCCCTGGCTGGGCTCTTTCGGGAGGCAACCAGTCGATGTGTCCCTCTCATGTCGGTATTTCTCTCTCTCTCTCTCTACCCGAAGATAAATAGAAAAATATCCTTGGGTGAGCATTAGAAAATAAAAATAAAAAAGAAAGAAGCTGTAACAGTCCAGCAGAATCGATGCCTCTCTGACGAAGACAAGGCACTTGTGATATCTGTGCAGAACCCTCAACAAAATCACATGCCACCCACCTCCTCAGTCCAGAAAGTTTAGAAGTTAGTGACACACGTTTTCAGTTTCTCATTTTATGAATTGAAGGGTGTTACAAATAACTTTGATGAATGACCCATTTTTCTCAGTGGCAATAAATAGGGAGAGGGAGAACGTGGAGTTGTTCATAAAGGAATTGTGAACACAGGACTGTGCAGCCATGGTTGACATTAGAACGGAAGAACTGAAAAAACAGTTTGATCAAGAAATCAAAGGAATGGCAAAGTGCCAACATAAAAATTTCGTAGAACGATGCAATGAACTGCACGAAGGCACTGCTTGCGGTGAGGGGGAGCATCGCAAGGGAGCAAATGCTCCAGTCTCTGGAAGCAGCCCACTTTATTTGGTGTTTTCGGTAATTAAGTCTTGGAGATCATATCTCTGCTGACCATACAGCCTAGCCCAGCATACTTCCTGTCTCTCCCTCTTTTCAGGGTTGATACATAGGAGAAACGGCAAGTACATTCACGCTTGGGCGTGTTGCCCAATGTCACTCTCAGGGGGCTCTCAGAACCCGATTCATGCACTACGTTTTCGATTCACATGCCTGTTTTGGTCCTTGGCTGGCCAGGCGGCAAGAATGCGTACATCAAGGTTATATTTTGCTCATCCACCAAACCCCCAAACCTACAGTGACCCAAGTCTGGAAGCTCCTCTCTTCCCTATGACTTCCCAAGTCCCTTTCCCAAGTGCCCACCAGGGCAAGGTGAGGACCGTGCCCTGGCAGCAGGCCTCTTCGCTGTGGCTATGGAGTGGCGAGGCACGTGCAGACCCTTTTCATCAAGGGAGTTGGGGGCCAGACAGGGTTCCATTGGAGTGGCTCGGTGCCAAGGGGGCTGAGCAGCCAGAAGTGTGGGCCCTGATCCTTGACCACCTTGGGGAGACCAGAGTGCTGGTCCCACCAGATGACATGAGGGTGGGGAGGGAGAGTGGAGCGACCCCACCCCAGCCTGGCTGCTAGGACCCGTTTTTATTTTTTTTTTCATCCTCACCCGAGGATATTTTTCCATTTTATGTACAGATAGAGTGGGAGGGGGAGAGAGGAAGAGAGAGAGAAACATCGATGTGAAAGGGACACATCGAGTGGCTGCCACCCGCACGACCAACCAGGGCCGGGGACAAACTGCAACCGAAGTACGTGCCCTTAGCGGGAACCGAACCCAGGTCTCTCCGGACCGCAGGCCGACGCTCTAACCGCGGAGCCACACCGGCCAGGGCTAGGACCCGTTTTTATATGGAGGTGTCACCTGGCGCTAAATGGTGTGGGACAGACAACTCACACCTGCCAGCTAGGAGACCCCAGCCGGCTCCCAGCTGTTCAAACCCTCTTCCACCATGAGGTCAGGGTGGCCCCAGTCCTCAGAGTCAGTGTGAGGGGAAGCCAGCAATTCAGACAGAGGCTTTATTAAAGGGAGCCTGTGGCTGTATGTGGCTGAGATGGCCACACCCCTTCTTCCAGGGGCTTCTCTGTAGTCACCCTGATGCCAGGGGGTGGGGCTCACCATCCTTTCTGCTTTCAGGTGGGCATCGTTGGCCCTGATGTCCAATCAGCCCCTTGGCAGCCATTCTTCTAGTAAAGGCTCCTGTCTACCCAGGCCCTGGCTGGGAGACGCCGCACAGGCGCAGAGGACCAGTGGCGCCAGGAGAAACCACCTGGGCTGAGAACAGGGAGGTGGGCAAATAGCAACCCAGCTTGAAGGTCACGTCTAGGCAAGAACATTGCGGACCAGAACTGTGGCGTTTGAAATGGCAATGAGCAGGGTGCCCATGTTGTCAGCTCTTGTACAGGGGAGACTGCATACAGAGGGCACATGAGACTGGACAGGAGGCAAGGGACAGGGTCAGAGGCCCCTCGGATGGACATATGAGGAGCCTGGAAGCAGTGCTGGGGTGGTGGGGTGGGGTCAAGGCCCTCAGATGTTGCTCCTTGTAGGAGAAAGTACTGGTGGGGCTGGGTACATAATCAGGACCTGCAACCAAGACTTTGCTCCAGCTCTGCCCCGGCCTAGCTGCACCGCCTGCAACCGCCTGACCTCAGAGGGTCCGGGCGCTTCCATTTGTGCGAGGTGCCGGCGGGACAGTGCTGAGGGTCAGGAAGCGGGACCCAGGGCAGGAACAGGAATGGCCTGGGCTCCGGGAGAGGGGAGCGGGTGGCATGGCCGGCGGTTAGTGCAGTGATGTGACTAGTTGATGGCCCGGAAGGTGAGGAGCGGGATGGTGGAGGGCATCAGTATGAACCGGTAGACCATCTTCACATCCTCTTGCGTGATGGTGTCCACCTGAAAATGTTTCAGCACCTAGGACAGAGGCGCGGTTCCTGCTGACCCACCTGCACTGCTTGCAGACCCTCACCACTGTCCAGACCCGTGGTCCTGGCCCAGCCTCCTCCGCCTTGCCGGCTGCCCGGACGCCCCGCCCTCCCGCACCCCGCCGGCCCCTCACGTGGTGCAGGAGAAGCAGCATCTCGGTCTCCGCCAGGCGCCGCCCCAGGCACTGTCGCGGGCCGAAGCCAAAAGCCAAGTGGGGGAACCTGGTGTTGGACCCTCTGTTCAGCCAGCGCTGTGGATGGTAGAGCTCAGGCCGCGGGAACACAGAGGGGTTTCGACCCAGGGGGTAGAGCTGCACAGTAACCAGTGTCTGCGGGGAGGTGGGGAGGGGCAGGGTCAGCTGGCCTGTGGGCGAAGCCCCCCCGGGCGTGGTGTCTGCTGGAAGGGCTGTGGGGCGTCACTCACCCCAGCCGGGATGTGGTAGTTCTGCAGGACCATGTCTGAGCTCACCTGTCGATCCACAGAGATACCCACGGGGTAGAGCCTGTGGACAGGGCAGCCAACAGGGTCCTCAGCTGGGACAAAGCCCCTCACCTCCCCAGTCCAGGGCACAGCAGCCAAGGGCAGGCTCCCAGCCTTCACAGGTCCCTTGGCACCGGGAAGCTGTGCCAGTGCACCTCCTGAGCTCGGCCGAGGCTGCCCCGCCGGAGCAGCCTCCGGGCTGGGAGGACACGGTGGAGGACGGCACCACCATGCTGAGGTGAGATCCAGAGGGCGAGGGGCCCCGTCCCTTCGGGGACAGGAAGAAGAGGCGCGGGGGATGCACCCTTGGGCACCGCACCCGCGTTCCCAGGATCAGGGTGCGCCCCGGGGCGCCCTGCTCTGCAGACAGTGCCCAGGCGGCTGGGGCTCCTGACCTCAGGGTCTCCTTGAGGGCGGCCCGCAGCAGGGGCAGCTCCGTGGCTGCCCTCTGGGGATTCTCAGAGATCTCGGCGTCCGCCAGGAGGCTCTCCTCACGCAGGGTCTGCTGCACCTCGGGGTTCCGCGCCAGCTCGAAGAGGGTCATCAGCAAGGGGTAGGCCGTCTGCAGGAGCCATGGGCGCAGGGCTCAGACCTCGGCACAGCCATGCACCTCAGCCCCCAGGGCCCACCCCCAGGAGAGGATGTCTCAGGCCCACGCTATGCGCATGCCCAGTGCAGGGCAGAGCCCAGGGGACTGAGACCTCAAGATGTGAAAGCCCACCCCCTCTGCTTTCCTTGAGTCCCTCAGGGAGGGTGTCCCCAATCTCAGGGCAGACCCAGGCCCTGCCACTTCAGGCCTGTTCTCACCCTCCTCTGGGCTCCAGGAGGGTCACCCTTGCCATCTACTCGGGATGGGGTCTGGAGCCCCAGGTCCATCTGCTCTCAGTGGGTTATCTCCCCGGGGCATCTGATGCAGCTCAGACCCCAGCCAGTTCCTCCCCCTGGGTCGTTTCCATGTGCAGGGGCGGGTTCCCCCAGCCCAGCCCGAGGTCTGGCAGACAGCTGATGTCCTACATCCCGTCTCCATGGCAACATGCCCCTGGCATCTCCCAACGGGGGACAATGACCTGCCTGCTGCCCCCTTTGCCTCAGTCTATGCTGTGCCCTGGGGCACATGTGGGACCCACAGGGAACAGAAGTCAGAGTCAGACACTCCCGTCAGTGGCTGGCTCAGTGCAGCCTTGGGTGCAGGCCTGGCACCTGAGGCCCTGCCTTGCAGGGGTCCTGACCTTCTGCCCTCCGCTGCCCTCCACTCGGCCTCATGCCTTCCCGTGCTGCCTGCTGCTGCACCCTGGCCTGCGGCACTCTGTGCCTCTCTTCACGGCCTGTCTGACTTCTGCCTGGTTCTTCCAGGTTCAGCTGGAGGTCCCCGCATCCAGGAAGCCTGCTTAGAGCCGTCCAGAGGCACATGCCTTCCCCTGGCTCTTGCCACATGACAGCACCTCAGCCTCTGCTCGGGGAGCTTTTCGCCACCAATCTGCGCCTTGGAATTTCAGGTGCCAGGCCCGGAGCAGCCCTGAGAGCCGGCAGAAGGAGGCTGCTGGAGGCAGAGGGTTGGGCTGCGTTCCACACCCTGGGGCCCGCCCTGCCACGGGCTGGGTTGCCTATGAGTCTCCTCCACAAGCCGGAGCCCTGTGCTGCCCTTCCTGTCACCAGCCTGTCACTTAGCAGGGTCCCCTGTGCAGCTGGGTGCTGGCGTCCCCCCTGGCTGAGGACCCTGATGGTGTGACGGGGTCGATGCTGTGTGTCCTCAGGCCTCGGGCTCTGCAGGCTGCCTGGAGCACGGGTTCCCACCAGCGACTGCAAACCCTCCCCTTCAAGGCTGCTCCCCGTGCCCTCCCCTCAGAGCCTTCTGACGCTGAGATCCCAGACTAGGTGTCTGAGCAGCAAGGACTGGGAGGGGCATGCAGGGGACCCTTGGCCCAGGAGGGCGCTGCCGGAGTCACGTGGGCTCCATGTTCTGTGGGCAGGGCGGGGCTGGCCACCGTGTCCACGCTGCCCGCAGTGAGGTCGATGGCGCTGGCCTTGATGGCGTCCAGGGTCAGGTCTGCATGCAGGAGCAGCTCCGCCATGATGCCGCTGTAGTGGTGGGGGCGGCCGAGCGCCAGCTCCTGGTAGATCTTCTGGATGGAGTTGTTGGCTGTGGGCAGAGACAGAGCCCTGGGCCTGGCGCTGGGAGCCACTGCCTCTTGGTGCCCTCCGCATCCGCCCTCGGCACCTGCCTCGCTCTCCTGCCAGGTCCTCGGGTCAGCCCAGGCCCACCTGCCTCGCCGCCAGCTCTCGGGGACTGCGCAGAAGCCGGAGCCCGTGACCCTCTGCACCCAGCTGGCCCCGGCCCTCACCATACTGGAAGATGTAGTCCCAGGCCGCGAAGTGCTCCTTCCACACCTGGGCGCTCGTCCAGCGCGACAGGCCCCTGGGCACGAACATCAGCTGCACGGTGGACCGCAGCATGACCTCCAGCGCGTGGATGAAGTTCAGGCTGGCTGGGCTGGGGCTCTGGCTGAGGAGGCCCAGCCGCTCTCCAAAAAGGACCAAGTTGCTGGCTGTGGGAGGGTGGGCTGCTGAGCGTGTGGCAGCCCCGGGCCCGGCCGCCTCCTGCCGGCCCCGCCCGCCTGGGCCCGGCCCGCACCTTCCAGGGTGTAGTAGAAGATGCTGGGCTGGATGTCCACGGTCAGGGCCCCCCGGGCGCTCCGCAGCACCCTCGCCCTCAGGGCCTGGGCGAAATCCCTGGCCACCCTGTCCACCATAGGCATGTACTTCTGCACCGCCAGTGGCGACATCACATCTGGGTTGAGCCGCAGTCGGTCCACGCGCCATGCGGGCCCGTTTCTGCACAGCAGACAGAGAGGGAGCTTCAGGGCACCCCGCGTCAGCAGCAGGCTCCCAGCCCTGCACCCCATCTTCCTCATCCCAAAGGGACAGGGGGCAGGGAGCTGCGTGCTGGTCCTGGTGAACAGGCTGCCCATGTTTCCCCCTTGCCACACGCTTCCTTCCATAGAGGTCCTGGCGGCTGCGCCCAGGGTGCTCAGCTCCACAGCAGGGCTGAGGCCAGGTCTCTGCCCAAATGTGCCCCATGGGTCACCGAGTTAGCTGGTGCCGCTCACACCCCCACCCAGGCCCTGCGTGGGTGTGGAGGCCTTGTCTCTGAGGAGGAGGAGGCTGGCCCTCCTGTCAAGCAACGCCCACGCTGCTCACACCACAGCCCAGAGTGGGTGACCCTCCTCCCCCGTGCGTCCCCACGCTTAACAGCACTGCCTCTCCAACCGCGGCGCCTTCTCTCCCTGCGGGCCTCTAGTTCCTCTAGACACAGACCACAGTGTCTCTCACGACACCTCCCACAGGGACCGGCCCCTGGGCGCTCCGAGGGTGTCCGTGGGGGACGCAGGGAGATTTGCAGCCGCAGTCACATCCCAGCATGCACACCTTCTTTCCGGAGGCCAGCCTCCCACAGGGGCTGAGATCGGCCACACGCACACGTGGAAAGCACACGAACTCAGATGTACAACACTCACTCACAGACGTGCACACTTGTGTGGGTACACGCAGGCAGCAGGCACACACCACACATAAGCACACACGTAGGGATCTCTACAAACATGGCACGCAGACACACGTGAGCACACAGGCTAGCATGCCAGCATGTGCACACATGTCTGCTCACATACATGTAACGGCATCCGCACCCGCACACACTCACACACGCGGACACAGGCACCCCCAGAGCTTGGCTTCTGAGCGGAGGTGCCACCCACCTGCTGCCTGCCCTGTCTGATGCGGACCCTCCCCACCTGAGCAACCCACTCAGGACCCCCGGGGCCCACACGGAGGCGGCAGCCTGGCCCCTGGCACAGCCCTGCGGTCACACTGTCTCCACGCACCCAGGCGGGCTCAGGGCAGGCCTGCTGAGGGTCTCCCCTGTGCTGCCTCCTCCCTGCACCCAGGCTGCCTGTTCCCCGCCTCCTCATTCAGATGAGCCCTCACAGCAAGAACACGCCGCACTTGTGCCCACGATGCTGTCGGTGGGCCAGCCAGGGCTCCAGGACCATCCGGCGGGGTTGAACGCCCTCCGCCCGCTTCAGCCTCTCCACGTCTTCGGGCAGCATCACACACACCATCGGTCTCCCGCCCACGTCGTACCTGCGGGACAGTCAGAGCCCCACTGTGGGCCGTGCCGCCCTGGGCCCCACTCAGCAGATGACATCCGACCGTCTCCTGCTGACCTCTCCTTCTCCCTGACGGGTCTGAGCCGGCAGTCCCTACCGCCGCCTGACTGGAGGCTCTCCTGCTGTCCGTCTGCATTGTCAATCGGCAGCGGGTCATGGGGTGCTCTGACCTTGTGTCGGGGTCACGGACGCTCCACTGCGCAGCCCCTCCCACCTTCCCCAGCTGCAGAGCACCAGCGCCCGACTGGACGGGGCAGGGCAGGGCACCTGGCATGAACTGGGTGGCCAGTGGGCACAGAGCGTCAGGTGTGTCGGCGAGGCGGGCAGGGAGGGCTTCACCTGAAAATGGGCCCCAACTCCTGGAAGGTCTGTTGCATCTGCAGGTGCAGATCCTCGGAGCCGTCCCTCCAGACCTGCAGCACCCTCAGCCACTTGTTGCCGGGACACTGCGGGATGGCTTCGAAGGGCAGCACTGCCTTGGGCGCCGGAGCAGCGCCTGTGGTCAGCGTGCGAGTCCAGCGCAGGGACAGCCAGGCGCCCGCCATCCACACGTCTGCTCTGGCCTGGAATGCCATGCCCGGGCTTCCTCCACCCCCTTCCTCAACCTTTTATCTCGCTCAGGGGCCTGACTGGCCAACTGATCACGTCATGGGAGGAAGTGTCCCTGGACCAGGCCAGGATGCCCCAGGAAGGGGTCAGGGCCGGAAGGGTCAGGGCTGGAGGTGTCCAGCCAAAAGGAGATGAATGAAATGGATGGGCGCCTCATCCCGCAATTCCGTGAGGCCTGCTGCAGGCTGGGTGGGTGTCCAGGGCAGGTGTGCGGCCGGGACAAGGGCTGAATCGGGCTGGGATGGTTGAGAGGCCTCTCTGTCCTCCCCCCAGGTGAAGGGAGCAAGATGGATGGGCCCCTTATCTCATCAAGAGAAGAGAGGGGCCTTGGATATTTTTATCTCCTTTTCACAGGACCAAGAACAGGGGGTGGGGCGGACTGATCACCCCTTCCGTTCACCCACGTGTGTTTGGTTGTTGCTCCCAGACCTCACGCCGGCTGCAGGGCCTGGACGCAGAGCCAGCCAGGGTCCCTCCCAGGGAAGACGTTGAGGCCCAAGGGGCAGTGGGGAGAATCCAACGATAGAATTGGGGGTGGCACCGGGGCAGCCAGGGCCCTGTCTGTCTATCCGGTGCTGCTAAGGAGCCGTGAATTCCCAGAGGAGGGCTGCTCCTCAGGCCTAAAGATGAGACACAGCTGCTCCCAGGGCCTATGCTCGGTGTCCTGCCCTCCTCATCCTGAAGAGGGCCCTCGGGGACCAGGCCCAGGGAGGAGCAGGAAGTGGTCCTGGGCTCCCTACTCTCCTGGCACTGTTCCCAGCAGGCTCAGGTGCAGCCCACCCTGCGGGCCGACCCCTGGCGGGGGCAGCATTCCATGGAGACCAGCTCGCTGTCATTGTTCCCATTTTCAGAGGAGAAGACTGAGGCCAGGGGTTCTGTGACCTCCCACAGTCCTCATCAAAGGGTCCCGGAGCTGTGCCTACCAGCCCTGACCCGGATGTGGGATGGGCCTGGGGGTCTTGGCTCAGGCTGGGGGCAGGATGGAAGGCGTGTGCAGGTGGTCGCAGGAGGGCCACCGTCCCAGTGTCGTCTCCTGTTTTACTTGCTCCTGCTCCAGAACATTCTGGGAGACTATTCAGCTGGGGCGATGAGTCACACTCCACCAAGGCCCCTTCAGACAGATGAGACGTATGATGTACCTCAACCCCAAAGGGTGTCACAGCTGTCCTTGGGCAGGGACACAGTCCTCTCCGGATGCCTCTCCTACCACCGCCCTGCCTGTGCCCTCCACCCACAGCCTGCTGGCGCCTGGTCTGTTCTTGGGGCTCTCGGGGATGTGGACATGGGTCAGCTTTCGGTTGGCCGCAGTGATCCCCAAGGAAGCTAGGGCCAGTGGCCAGTCTCTCTTCCAGAGGGACTGCGGGCAGCGGACCCCAGCACCAAAGCCCCCATCACCCCAGTGCCGCCCTGCCCCGGCCTGTCCCAGACCTACAGGGCCTCCTGGGCAGGAAAGCCTGTGTCGTGTAGAGCCGAGGTGGCTCCTGACCCGGAGCTGTGGGTGTGCAGAGCGGGCCGGGGAGGGCAGCCCACCCTGCGGTTCTCTGCTGGGGGAGGGGCAGGCGCTGCTGGTAGGCACACAGGACGCCCTGCACATGGCGGTGCTCCCAAGGTCCGTCGCGAAGGGGGCACAGCTGAGGGGCACACTGGCCTCCCTATCTTGGCAAAGGAGCTAAGACATGTGGACTCCTGGGTGCTCCGAGGTGGCCTCAGGGCCCGTGGTCTGTGAGCAGCTGGGCCTCTCTCGGCTGATGCGCACTCTCCTCTGTAACTGATTTGCTTGTGATGGGAAACAAGGGTTTTGGTTGCTGTGTGAAGCGATGTTAAACAGGAAGAAACAGATCAGACACGGAGACCACAGAGAGGTCTGAGCACGCGGCACCCAAACAGGAACGTTCATTTTTCTCTTCAACAAGCCGTAAACGGGTAACTCCACAACGGGGTGGGGGGCCGTGTCTCTGGTTCAGGAGACAGCAAAGGGGAGTGAGCCTGCTCTGAGGCCGGAGGGGTGACGGACCGACGCCGAGGTGAAGGGTTGTCAGGTCAGTGTCCTGCCGACCAGGGTGGAGGCAAAGGTCAGGAACAGTCCCGAGCTCCACAGGACCGCCGCGCTTTCTATCTCCTCCTCGATGGGCTCGGGGGGCACGATGTCGCGCTCCACGTTGCTGGGTCCCCCGTCGTTGCAGGTCATGCCCCCGCAGCAATTGATCCAGTAGAAACTGTTGGTCCTCAGGGACCTGCTGATCGTGGCCGGCGGGGGCTGGTGCTCCTTGTAGACGAAGGTGCAGTTATCCGTGCAGTTCTTGAACACCATCAGCTCACGGGGGTTCAGGCCTGAAAGATGGAGGTGAAATCGCCGCGCACACTTTCTACGTGTCCAGCCCACGGGAACTAGCTGCATGTCCACACCCAAACCCCAAATGTTACTGCGTGGCTAGAATTCTTTTTCTGAAGACATATATATATATATATATATATATATATATATTTTTATTTATTTTCAGAGAGAGAAGAAGGGAGAGAGAGAGGGAGAGAGAGAGAGAGTGAGAGAGAGAGAGAGGGAGAGAGGGAGAACCCCTGATCGAGCCCACAGCCTGGGCACGCGCCCTGACCGGGAATCGGACCAGCAAGCTTTCGGTTCGTGGGACGACTTCCAACCAGCGGAGCCACACGGGCCAGGGCCTTTGCTCGAATTCTAGACTGAGTCATGCTTTCTACCGACACACTAGCCTCTTTCACACCCAAGCTCTCTGACGCTGACCTCACAAACTGATTTGGTGTCCATTTCAGAGTGTCCTTTCTAGAACAGTATATGAAAGAACCGGACAGTGTGAAACCTTTGGAGATTGCCTTTCCACTCAGCAAAATTCCCTGGATGTTCCTTCAAGTTGGAGCGTGTACTGGTATTTTGCTCCTCTGTGCTGACGAGCGATATCTCATGGTGTGTATGTACCTGGTTTGTCCCCATTGAGGGACATCTGGGATGCTATTTCCGTGTTTTTATGTGGACTTAGTTTTATTCATTTTTATTATTATTTTTGTTAATCCTCACCGGAGGATATTTTTCCATTGATTTTTCAGTCGGAGTGGAAGGGAGGGAGGGGCAGAGAGACAGAGAGAGAGAAACATCAATGTGAGAGACACATATCAACTAGTTGCCTCCTGCATGGTCCTGCATGGTCCCCGGGCTGGGGATCAAACCTGCAACCCAGGTACGAGCCCTTGACCAGAAATCCAAGCTGAGACCCTTCGGTCCGACGCTCTAACCACTGAGAGAAACTGGCCAGGGCTGGAGTTAGGTTTTAATTTCTTAGGGAATCACCCAGAGGTGCAATTTTGGGGAGTATGGTAGTTGCATGTTTAGTTTTAAAGAATCTGTCGCCGTGTTCTCCGCAAGGCTGCACCCTGTCCCCAATCCGGGCGGTGAAGGGGCACCTGGCAGCATTTGGTGTGGGCACTGGTCTCCATTCGACCCCTCTCAGTAGCCACATCTGACTGGGCTTTAATCTGCTTTTCCCTGGCGGGTGAAGGTGTTTTCACACAGGTGATCCTGCTCAGTTCAGTATCTCTTCCTGTCCGTGCCGTCTTCCAACGAGACTGTCTGCACTGTTACCCTGAACGCTGAGTTCTGTGTGGACTTGACACCAGCTCTTCACTGGATGTGCAGTTTACGTGCATTTTCTCCAAGTCTGCAACGAGTCTTTGCATCCTCTGAACAGAAAATTACTTATAATTGGTGGAATTCTAAAGTACCAATGTTCTTATCATTGGTCACGTTCTGTCAGCAAGTTGAACTTTTTGCCCAGACTTAGATGCCAAAGATTCCCTCCTATGCATCTTCTTTATCTAAGAGTTTTACCATTTACGTGTAAGTGTATGGTCCAGCTGAGTGAATCGTTGTGAGGTTTGAGGTTTCGGTCGAGGCTCACTTTGCCTGTGGGTGTTGAAAAGCTAATCCTTTTTGCATCTTGGCCAAAAATCACTTGGGCGTATTGGGGCGGGGCTGTTTCAGGGTTCTCTGACCTGTCCCACAGACCGTGTGTTTGTCTGACCACCAATGCCCCATTCGTTGTAAGTGCGGGTGGACGCTCCGTCTCTGACATTCAAATTTTTCCATAGAAATTGTTTGCTTACTACCCTGCTCAGCCCAGGAATCAGCAAAGCTCCTGGAGAGGAAAATGTGCCAGCGCTCTACACTCTTAAGTCTCTCAAAAGGCTCTTACACATTCTTTGTCCCAGCCCTGGCCGGTTTGGCTCAGCGGTCAGAGCGTCAGCCCGAGGACCGGAGAGTCCTGGGTTCGGTTCCCGCTAAGGGCACGTACCTCCTTTGCAGTTTGTCCCCAGCCCCAATTGGGGTCATGTGGGTGGTGACCACTCGATGCGTCTCTCTAACATCAGTGTTCCTCTCTCTCATGTCGTCGGGTGAGGAAAAAACAAACAACAAAGAGTTCTTCGTCCCAGGTGCATCGGGGTCACTCGGGAAGACAGCCTCTGGAGCTCTATGGAAATATGATTGGACACAGTGGGAGGAGCTGAGAAATGGAAGGAGTGAGTCACGGGAGGCTGGTGATCAGAGGCCAGTCTGGAGCAAGATCACTCAGAGCGGAGTGGGTGGAGGGGCAGCTCTGCGGGACAGTCGCAAAGCCACGCACCTCTGTCCTCCGGTCCCAGCTCTCGCAGACACGTCTCATGCGCCCTCAGAGCACCTGTTGCCTATGCGGACCAGCAGCCAAGCACCTGCTGGGGTTTCCTCTGCTTTTAGGGGGAAAGCCCAGCAATGGAGATGATGGGATGGACTGAAGCAGGATAAGAGTGAGGACAGGTTGGGGCCCATCACTGGGTCAAACCACCATAACCTTCAAGGGTCTCGGCTTCTGCTCGGCCTCTGCCTTGCAAAGTTCACACAAGTTCTCTCTTGGCCACTTAGAACCCAGAGCCCTACCGGGATGAGACTCTGGGGAATGTGCTCCCAGCTCTCTTCGCAAGCAGTGATCCCAACATGGCAACACACACCTCGTCCACGGCTCCCACAGGCACCAGTGGGGCCCTGACAGCTGAGGTCCCCTCGTCTTCCACGGCCCAGAGTCCCCTTCAAAGAGGCTCTCGCTTCTCAGGGGGTGGTCTCCAAGCAACACAATGCCAGCCACCAGACTAGACAAAGAGCCCGCACCCTAGGTTCCTTTGCTTTGGATGTCTTGCTTGGTTTCCAAAAATGACCATGTGGGTCTCCTGTTTATTTCTCTCCTTTCCCTTTAAATTTTAGTATTTTATATTATATCTATCTGTCAAGTTTTTCATCCTCACCCAAGGATAGTTTTGTTTTTTTTCAAATACATTTTAGAGAAGGAGAAAGAAAGAGAGAGAAAGAACCACTTTTCTGTCGGCCTCCCTTAGGCCCCCGGCCAGGGATGACCAGGGATCCGACAGCAGTCCAGGTAGTGCCCTGACCCGCAAGGGAAGCTGCGACCTTTTGGTGCACAGGAGGACGCTCCGACCAACCGAGCCACACCAGCCCAGGCCCAGGGTCCTATGTTTGATTCACCAACGAAGAATGAGCCCTGGAAACCTTAGCGCCCCCTGCCGCCGCACACGTGCCCACGGCCAGCGCAGGCCGGGCACAGGGCTCTGCAGCTCAGCTCGCTGCGCCCTCGGGGCTGAGCCTCGGACGGGACGGGACCGGACGGGACGCGGGGCTGAGCCGCCCGCTGCGCAGCGAGCCCAGGTCGGCCCCGCCTCTGGACGCGGGGGGCCCTCGCTCAGGCTGTGAGGAGGACACGCGGCCACTTACGCACGGAGAGCGTGAAGCAGCGCCTGGTCTCATACTTGCAGACCCTCAGGTTGGTGCAGCGGAAGCTGTTGATGATCGTGCACTCGTAGCATTTCACGTCGTAGGTCCCTGGGGGAACGAGCGTCGGGCCCTGCTCGCCAGGCACGTCCACCCCGGCCCCAGGCCGTCCGGAGGCTCGCGGGGCAGCCCTCCCTGGGATGGAGTCTGGGCGGGACCGGCTCCCTGGCCGAAGCCAAGGGACCAGGAGCTCCATCTGTCCCCAGACACGGCTGCCGGTGACGGCCCGCAGCCGGGCCCTAAGCTCTGCGGGTGTGGCCCAAGGAGCCCAGCACCCGCCCCCGCCCCCAGCCCTCCCGCCCCCACAGCCGCACCCCCAGCCTCCAGGTGTGCAGCTGCGGGGGGCGGGGCCGCTCGCTCCGCCTCTCCTTGCTGGGGACCCTCTCCGAATGCCCCCCTGAAGGACAGCAGAGCTGCAGGCGGGTGGGGTGGAGCTCCCCCCAGCGCCCCAAAGACTCAGGTCCCGGTGAGTCCCCGCCGCGGGGCGCCCGCACGTACACGCCTTCGCAGGGCTGTCCGCTTCCACCAGGGTCAGCCCCGCGGCCAGGAGCCAGGCGCCGAGCAGCAGCATCGTGGGCAGGAGCTGGAGCCTGTGGGTGAGGCGCCCCAGGACGCAGGGCAACAGGAGCATGAGGAGAGGAGGCCTTGTGGGTGCGGGGCCCCAGGATCCGGGGGCGTGGGGGGCATCAGAGGCTGGGGCACCTCCTGCTGAAGGCGCTGGGCCACGCTGCCAGGTGCAGGGCCGCCCCCAGACCCGAGGCTGAGGTCTGAGCCGGCTGGGGGCACCCAACCGCCCAGGGCTTCTGGAACCTCCCTCCCCGAGCCCCCAAAGCGCCCGACCTTCTGGAACCTTCCTCTTTGAGCCCCCAAAGCGCCCCGACCTTCTGGAACCTCCCTCCCCGAGCCCCCAAAGCGCCCCGACCTTCTGGAACCTCCCTCGTCGAGCCCCCAAAGCGCCCGACCTTCTGGAACCTCCCTCGTCGAGCCCCCAAAGCGCCCCGACCTTCTGGAACCTCCCTCGTCGAGCCCCCAAAGCGCCCCGACCTTCTGGAACCTCCCTCGTCGAGCCCCCAAAGCGCCCCGACCTTCTGGAACCTCCCTCGTCGAGCCCCAAAGCGCCCGCACCTCCCTCCCCGAGCCCCAAAGCGCCCCGACCTTCTGGAAACTTCCTTGCTGGCTCAACCTTCAAAGAGAAGCTAACGGTCAAAAAGCTGTGCGAAGCATGCTGGGAGTGACCCGGGCCCTCGGGAGGCCCCGCCCAGGACACCTCAAATCCCAGAAGTCCCGGCGCTTGGAGCCCAGGTCCCAGAGGCTCCTCTTTGGTCAGCTGCAGCCCTGGAGACACCAGGTCCTCGGAGCTTCTCGACGCCGAAGTCCAGGCGCACGTGCGAAGTCCAGCCCTCGACGCACCCGCCTAGTGTTGCCCAGTGCGGGGCTGGGCCAGCCCTGGCGCCGCGCCATGTGCGGTCATGGGGCCTGGGGGCCAAGCATGGGCTGTGTATTTATTTTTTAAAATGTTTCCATTGATTTTTTTTAAGGAGAGAGAGAAACATTGATCAGCTGCCTTCTGCACGCGCCCTCCTGGGGATCCAGCTTGAAACCCGGATAAGTGCCCTCCCAGGACCTGAACCGGTGTCCTCCCAGTCCACTGAGCCACACCAGCCGGGCTGGACAAATGTCAGAGGGGAAAGAACCTTCCCAGAGAGATGTACGAAGTTTGTTTCCCTGTCCACCGATTAATTAGGTCGTCTGGAACATTCCTGCCTGTGCACTTCCACGTCGAAACACTTACCTCTTCCGCACTCAAACTCCTCCTCCTCTCTGCCACCACCTGTGCTACTGCTGTGGCAGGTGAGTCCTCACAGGTACGTCGTCCTGGAGATGCCCTGAGATGGCTGAATTCAGTGTGTAACACCCGAGGCCTCGTGACCCTCGTTTCCACCGTTGCTACCTGCGCCCAGGGACTACGCTTACTCGTCCCTCACTTTGCTTTTCTTGGCATTTCCTTGCTTGGGTCTGAGATCCTTGTTCTTCTGCTTCCTGTATTTTTCTGGTTCGTCCAAATTGTTATCGTCCCTGAGATTCTGTTTGTGTGTGTCTGTCTTTGCCTTGGCATCTCGAAGGATATTTTTGTTTTTGTATAAAGTCCTAAGTGAGTAGTTATTTTCTTCCAGGGGCGTGGCATTATTTTTCCATTGTCTTGGGTCTCTCGTGGCTTATTTTCCCTCTTTGGATCTTGCTTATCAGTCTTCTTGTTGCCCCTTTAGTATTGTGACTGTTCTCTCTGGAGGCCTTGAAGGTTTTCGCTTCATCTTTGGTGTTCAACAGGCTGACGACAATGTGCCTGGGTGTCACTTTTTCCACCTGCTTCAGTTTCTTCAGACTCTCTTGAGTCTGTGGGTTGATATCGGGACTCGATTTGGAAAACCGTTAGCTCCTAGACCTTGAAATGCCATGTCTGTCCATCTCTCTCTTCCTCTTGGTGGCTGCACATTGTCATTAGCTCCGGTGGCCCACCCAGCTGCCTCAAGTCCCCGAGGGCAAGCATCAGTCATTGTCATCCACATGTCTGTGGGGAGGCTGGGTTCAGCTTGGCACATCTGCTTGTCACCACGGGTCTTGGGTCACCTGGGATGGTTCTGCTACATGTGGGCCTCCTCCTCCTCCTGCTACCAGTCGCTGAGTGAGCATGGCCTTCTCAGGACGGCGCTAGAGGCATATGAAGGCCATCCCAGCCCCACAAGCTGTCAGGCTTTGTTGGGTCACATCTGCTAACAGCTCATTGCCCACAGCAAGTCACATGATGAGGCTCAAAGTCAAGGTCAGGAGAATAAACCCAGCCTTTGGTTGGAGGGCTGCAAAATGATACTGCGAAGAGTGTCCATAGGGTTGGTAAAGAAACATATCAATGGGGACAGCAGCACACACGTCTGGTATGCCTTCCGCTGTGTTGGTTTCCAGGATCCAGCTCATTCTGTGTGTTCTGTTCTTTTAAAACGGCCCTGGCCCTGGCCAGTTGGCTCAGAGGTTGGAGCACTGGCCCTCAGATGGAAGGGTTGCAGGTTCGATCCTGGCCTTGGTTGGGTCGTGCAGGAAGCAACCAATCAATGTATCTCTCTCACTTCAATGTCTCTCTCTCTCTCTCTCTGTCCTTCTCGCTGCCTCCCTTCCACTCTATCTAAAAATCAATGGGGCCCTGGCCGGTTTGGCTCAGCGGTTAGAGTGTCGGCCTGCGGTCCCGAGAGACCCAGGTTCGATTCCCGCTAAGGGCACGTACCTCGGTTGCAGTTTGTCCCCGGCCCTGGTTGGTCGTGCGGGTGGCAGCCACTCGATGTGTCCCTTTCACATCGATGTTTCTCTCTCTCTCTCTCTTCCTCTCTCTCCCTCCCACTCTATCTGAACAAAAAATGGAAAAATGTCCTCAGGAGAGGATTAAAAAAAAAAAAAAAGATGTAAAAATCAATGGGAAAAAATCCTTGGGTGAAGATTAACAACAAACGTAAAAATAAGAAATAAAAAATAAAAACAGCCCTGCTCCAGTCAGGTGATTCCTGCCTCTGGTGTTCGTGGGGACGAAGATCCTCCGGGGTGTCTCCTGAGGAGTGAGTCCAGCTCTGGCTTCTGTCAGCGTGTCCTTGAGTTTTAGTTCATTCATTTCTACCACTTCCTAACTTTCTCTTTACTGATCTCTACCATTTTTAAGGCTGATTCTGTTTAAAGCATTTACGTCTAGAAGTGGTTACGGGTTTTCCCCTGGATGTTGCTTTAGCTTTATCCTTAAATTATTGGGGTTCTTTTGGTTTTCTGAATCTTGGTAACTGTTCAACTTGCAGCACGGAGAAAAGTCTATGCTGGCGCCATGTCGGAGAGGAGAGCCTGTTCTTGCTGCTGGGAGCGGGCACAGCGGCCGGGGGCTCCCTCAGCCACCGAGCGTGTTCTCCCTGAGCCTTGCTTTGCCCCGGGGCCTGTTACCTGGAGGGAAGTGTCTCGGGATTCTGCTCTTTCTGGAGGACCAGTCTCTCCCTGCAGGGGTAACACTTTCTACTTCATGCATTTGAAGGACTTCTATTACATACAAATGTTTTCAGTTAGAAAAAGTTTCTTTCCAAGGGTAGAGATAAACCAAAGAACTTCTATGGGCATGTGCATAACCAAGGGGCAAACAATAGTCTGGGGAACGAAGGAGGGGGGTGGGATTGAGGAGGAGGGGGCCAATGGGGGAGAAAGGGGGACATCTGTCATACATTGAACAATAAATATCAGTTTAAACATTAAAATAAAAAAAGATTTTTTTCCTGGTGAATTGAACATCAAGTCATTTGTGCCTATTCGTGATTTTTGCCTTAAAGTCAATGTGTCAAAAATTAACAGTGTAGCCTTGGCCAGTTTGGCTCAGCGGTTAGAGCGTCGGCCTGCGGTCCTGAGAGACCCGGGTTCGGTTCCCGCTAAGGGCACGTACTTCGGTTGCAGTTTGTCCCCGGCCCTGGTCGGTTGTGCGGGTGGCAGCCACTCGATGTGTCCCTTTCACATCGATGTTTCTCTCTCTCTCTCTGTTCCTCTCTCTCCCTCCCACTCTACCTGAGCAAAAAATGGAGGAATGTCCTCGAGTGAGGATAAAAAAAAAAGAAAAAGAAAAAGAAAGTTATTTTTGGTAAAAGAAAAATTCAACATCCTGATAAATGGTATCAGCTAGGATAAAAAATAAACGGAGTGCCTTATTGTGTACATTTTCCCCTAGTTCTCGTTTGGTACATTACAAAATGGCACGTTTCAGAAGCTCTGTGGAGAGAGCCCTCCGCTCCCAGGCCTTTGTGCCCGTGGACTCCCGTGGGTATCAACGCTAAAGTGTCCGCCGCCTGGAGCTCCAGGTAGAGCGTGCTGCTCATGTGGCCCCTCAGTCCCTGCGAGGTCACGATTCTATGAGAACAGGCAGTTCCCGTTGCTGGCTGCTGGCTCTGTTTCTTCCGCGCCGAGTGCAGTGTCCACAGTCACCCGATGTCCTGCGGCGGCCCGCCTCCCACCACTCCAGGGGGCCTTCCAGGACAGGAAGCAGAAGGCTGTGCAGGGAGGTGTGGTACCCAGTTTTCATCATCCAGTCCAACAGAACCTGTGAACTGCAAGAGTTCAGAAACCGCCTCGGCACTCTCCCACGGGGACCCCAGAGAGCAAGAGTAACTGCTTCTTCAGCGGTTTCGGAAGCTTCTCCAGGTCAGTCCGGAGCCTCCTTGTGTGCGGGCTGTTCAGCAGGCGGTGAATGTTTGGTTGGAGGCTCAGGAAGTTCCTCTTTGCTGCTTTTCTGTTTGATGTTTCAAAAGATGCCTGACTCTCCTTTTCAAGCACCAGGTCTTCATCACCCCCAAGTTTAGGACCATTGCTTACCGTCCAGGTCTCACCCGTCACGTGACAAAAGCACTCTTCAGTCCTTTCAGGTTCGCTTCCTGGTGACGGTGTAGAACATTCTCTCTGTGTCTGCTGGCCGGGGCTGGGGCAGAGGGCGGGCGACTGCACCGAACTCTCTACCATCTTTTCTGATAAACTTTCCGGGGGTCTTATGTTTCGAGTGTGTCTTTTTCTGCATTAAGACAATGATTCCATCCGATAACCTATCTCTGAACTAGTGATATAACTTATTGTGGTTGCTCTGTCATCAACTATTTGATCTTTTTTCTTAATCCTCACCCAAGGACATTTTTCTATTTATCTTCAGATAGGGAGGGAGGGAGGAAGACAGACAGAGGGAGGGTGAGAGAGAGAGAGACAGAGAGAGAGAGAGAGAGAGAGAGAGAGAGAGAAACATTAACATGAGAGAGACACATTTACTGGTCGCCTCCTGCAGAACCCAACCAGGGCCAGGGACGAGCTGCAACCCAGGTACCTGCCCTTGATTGGAATCAAACCTGAAACTCATTGGTCTGCGGGCCAATGCTCTACCGCTGAGGCACACGGGCCAGGGCTAAACATTTTTCTTTCATCTATCCCTTTTCACCCAATTACTGACTTCTTTTTCTTAAACATATGTAGAAGGTAAAAACTGCATTTTCATCATTTTGACATCGACTCCATGTCTAAATTCTATCCTGTCTCTAACTTCCCTTCACCCACACAGCCAATCAGAGAACACGTCAGCTTGTGCGCTGCCTCCTCGTGCAGTTTGTGTCCCGTTCTCCAGCTCATCTTCTCTGACCTTCCCCACAGGAATTTTTCTTCTTGTGCTACTTCGCCCGTGTCTGTCTGCCTAACCTGTATCCACACGGCTCAGTGGGCTCGGGGTGCTTTCCCACACTACCCTCTATGTCTCCATCCTTCCGCAGTGACTTCCAGAAAGAGTCTCTGTCACACGGTGCCATAATTCCCCAATTCATTTTTAGCCTTCATGCTATGATGATCTGATGTCTCCCACCATTAAGACTTTGAAAGTGCTCCTCACGTCACCAAAGAGCCCTGGTCTACACTGGAGGGCTCTGCATACTCCTCTCCTCACCCACACCCGGCCTCCTGTTGGGCGGACTCCACCGTTAGGCTGACCTCTGCTTCTCTGCTCCTCCCGGGGCGGTGCCCCGTTGGCCTGTCCTAGCCACAGTGCTGCGCCCCTCGTCCAGTCCCAGCACCGTTCCTGGGGACATTGCGAGCCCCACGGCAGCACAGAGACGTGCTCCGAAAAGGTGAGCACACACGAGGAGCCCAGCATACTGCAAATTCCCCCCAGCCCTGGAACTGCTGGCCAGTCCTCCCTACTGTCCCTCACGTGAACTTAGGAGTCTGGGTGGAGGACTCAGATGTGACAGAGCTCACCCTCCTCCATGGTTCAGGGGTGGCACAGAAACCACCCTCTGCCTGCCCCACCTGGGGCCACTGAGCCTCTTTCTGGAAGGTTCCCAGACTGCCCACGCTGAGTCCACACTGCAGGGGAGAAGCATTTCCTCGGCGTAGACCTGAGCCTGACTTTCCGCCTCTCTCTGCATGGCTGCACTTTAAACCAAGTATAGAAATATGGACCCCAATGCCGTCCACCGGGCCCAAGGTTCAGATGGAGGACAAAGGCAGTGTTTGGGAGCCCACACACCTGCCATTGGTGGGTGAAGTCCAAGTTCATTCAGTAGAAATCCTTCTCTCCCATCTCCCGGAATCTGAGGAAGAGCAGCTACAGGGTCTCCCTCACCACAACAGGGCGTCTTAGGTCCATGTCCCACAAGCCCCACGCGGAGGAGTCCTTCACACCCGGTTCATTCTGCCTCCTGCCCTGACCCAGTGCCCCCCAAAGGCCCAAACCTTTGAACACTACTCTTCACGGGTGGTACTCAGCCCCCAGCCCTGGAAGGTGAAGAGGAGAAGGAAGAGGGGTTACCAGCCATAAACTGTCACAAGGCTACATCTGAACAAGCCACTGGCCAACAAGACTGCAGTCAGGAGGGCAGCATGGCCTGGCTCTAAGTGCAAGCTTGGACTCCAAGCCCCAGTTCCCTCCTACCTCCAATTGCAGGGCGCCTCCAAAGTCAGACACGAGTCAGTCAAGAGAAACAAGTTTAATGCTACAGGCTCACACCATCTGTGGGAGTCACACCATCTGAGCCACGTGGAGGCCCCGCCCGCACGGCTCCGTGGCTCAGGACCGTCTGAGACCCAGGGACAGGGAGGTGAGTGTCAGGAGGAGCACCAGCGCAGGGCTGCCGCTGCACACACGCACACCGGCCTTGGGCGTGACTCGCGGTTCGTCTTTGTGGGTGTAGTACCACTCCGAGTCAGTGATCTCTGGCCGATCTGTATTGCATAATGACGTTGTGCAGCACGAAGCGTAGAGGAAGGGCATAGGCTTTTCCAGTACGAAGGGCTTGAAAATGAGGTTGTCTGCACTGATTGCTGGACAAAACTTCGTGCACTGCCTGGAAACGTAGAAGAAACGCACTAATATTCCTGACAGGAAGTAAAAAGGGAGAGGAAGGAACACATGAATTGAAAGCACGACAACAGCTCTATTTCTGTATCTATACAACCCGAGCCTTCTGGTGCCCCCAACACACCCAGGGGCCCACGTGGGAGAGGGCGCCTAGGGGGCAGGCAGGAGCCATCACCTGGCAGGGAGAGGCTCAGACTTTGTGTTCACAGCTGCTTTGGGGGCTTCTGGCTTGTGTGCAGTGTGGCATCAGACGCCCCCAGGCCTGGCCTGGCCATGTGCACCGGGACCCTGGTCTGGGGTGTCCGTTGGGAAGGCACAGGTGGCTCAGGCCACAACTTTTCACACTCAGGGATGCTCAGGCACCTGGGAGCCAGGACTCCTGGCATCGGGCCAGGGCCCAGGTGAGGTGGGGATGGGGTGGGGGGAGGGGGGAGGATGCTGGCGCTCAGCCGGCCTGGGTGGGAGAGCCGCGGCTGCGCGCCTGCGCGGGCCCAGCCCAGTGCCGGCCCCCACCTCTCTGACGTCCCCTCATCCTGCACATTCAGTTACGACGCCCACGGGAGGCTGACGTGAGGCTCAGCCTCCTTGCCGCCCACACACGTTTCCTGGGACACGGGAGCCCCCCAACCCGCCCCAAGGGGCTGAAGATCTGTACCCGAATCTCCAGCCCCGCCGATGCCACGGCGCAGCAATGCCAGGCCTCCCAGAAGTGCTCGGTGAATCTCGATGACCCAGGGGGTCCACAGCCTGTCAACCTGCACCCTCCTTTCAGAACCCACGGATCGCCCGCCCTGACGGTGTCCCGCCCCGTGACAGCTGTTCTCAGTGGGACGTTTGAAATCACTGAAACTTAGTTTTTCACTTAACAACAAATGAACAGAATCGCTCCTTCTTCTGCCTGCTCCCCGTATTCGGTCCTGACCGGCTGGTCATGTGTGCCCCTACGCGGTCACTGTCCGCCACAAGCTGGCCCCCAGCCTGCTTCCACCTCTGGCTTCTCAGGACCTGGCTGCTGGCCTTCAAACGGAAGGTCACTTTCCATCAGTTATTCTCTATTGACTGAAATGACACCCCCTAAAAGAATGTTTCAGAGCCCTGGCCAGTTTGGCCCAGTGGTTAGAGCGTCGGCCCACAGACTGAAGGGTCGAGAGTTTGATTCCCAGTCAAGGGCACGTACCTGAGTTGCAGGTTTGAATTCCGGCCCTGGTTGGGGTCCTGCAGGAGGCCGCTAATCGATGTGTCTCTCTTACATCGGTGCCTCCCTCTCCCTCTCCCTCCCTCCCTCTCTCGCTAGGAAATCATGGAAAATACCGTCGGGTGAGAAGCAACAAGACACGTGCTCCGTGGACCTGCCTCTGAAACCAGGGACACCTGAGACACAGCTGGCCTTAAACCTGGGGATTCCAGGTGAAGGCATCCCGTGCAAAGTACATGTGAAACCCCAGGTGGACCCTCCCACATGGACCCCCAGGCGGCTTCCACACTTGACCAGCACATGTTTGAATGACGGGGTCGGTTGAAAAGCCCCTGTAAGGGGACCTTGTAATTCAAACCTGTGCTGTTCAGGGTCGACTGTACTTACGCGTGACAGCAGTCACACAAAACGTATTGCCAGCGGAGCAATCAGTTGCGCGTCTACATGTCACAGTACTGATTTCCTCACAAACATGACACCTCAGGTTGCCTGAGGGAGCAACGGAAGGAAGAAAAACGTTACGACGCCAGACCTGTCAGGGGAACGCCCGCCACGCTCTCCCTCCTCTGGGCCCGTCCTTCCACATCCACGGCCCACCCCAGCCTCGTCTTCTCTCCCGAGCTCCCCTCGCGCACCCACACCCAGAACACGGCAGGGACACGGACCCACAGACAGCACCCCCGCACCTTTCACAGGAGCCCCACACTCCTGCACACACCTGGCATCTCACCTGCTGCTGCTCTAGGGACAGAGACCCCAGCGCGGTTGTCGCTCCGCCCGCCCACCGTGGGCCCAGCCCCGCGTCCTGACTCCCGCGGCCTGCACCGCGTTCTGCACCGCGGCCTGCTGTGTCTGTGTTCCGCGGGGACTCACCTTGTCTCTCCACCCCGGTGGCATTTGCCTCCACCTGCAGCGGGCCCACGGCCAGGAGGAACACAAGGAGGACCGTCATCTCCAGCGGAGCCTGGCCCTGGACGTGAGAGGCAGGGCCACTTGGTCAGCCTGGCGCCCACGTGTCCACTGCTGTTCCCAGCCACTGCCGCTGGGCACTGGGGCAGCCACCTGCCCGTCACCCATGGGACGGAGCCGGGCGTGCCCGGTGGGTGTCTGGTGGCCGCGCACCACTACCGAGCTCCGTCCATCCCCACGGACCCCACCGGCCCTGGGGCTCTGTGGGTTCACACCCACTGCAGCACACCTTCCAGGCAGCCGGTCCGGGGTCCCCCAAACCCCCTTAGCTGCCCCAGCTCCTGCTCTGTGGGGACCCCTGGGCCCTTCCACCCAGCAGCACCTCCCTTCCCGCCCTGCAGTCCCTCTGCACCCCGGGCGTCGTGCCCTGGAGCCCAGGAAGGCCTGGGGGCCGTGAGCGCGCCCCTCCCGCCCCTCTCCGCTGGCTGGCACGTGGCTGGGGCCCGCTCTGCTCCTGAACCCGAACCCGAACCCCAACCCCAATGCTCCCGGTTCTCCCCAAGGCGCCCAAGGCTGCGGGGACCTGCCGTCCACCTGTCTCTCCGACAGCGACGGCGGCGCGGGGCCTCGCTGGGAAGCCGAACCTTCCCGAAGCGGCGCGGTGCTGGGCGGGAGCCGCGGAGGCTGTCGGGAGCCCCGCAGGCTGTCGGGAGCCCCCCCCCCAGGCCGAACCTTCCCGAAGCGGCGCGGTGCTGGGCGGGAGCCGCGGAGGCTGTCGGGAGCCCCGCAGGCTGTCGGGAGCACCCCCCCCAGGCCGAACCTTCCAGAAGCGGCGCGGTGCTGGGTGGGAGGCTGGGGGGGGGCGCCTGGGGTCCCACTCTGGAGCAGGAGGCGGGCAGCCGGCGCTTGCGGGGGCGGGTCAGCTGCGCGGGGCCCGGGGCGCCTGGGGCGCCCTCTGCGACCTCGCTCCCTGTGTCCGGTCCGGAGCCTGTGCTGACCCGGGCCCCAGGCCCCTTCGGGAGGCCCTGGCCCTGCCCTTAGACCAGCCTGCTGGGTCTGTGGCCCGCGTCCAGTCCGGCCGCTGCAGGGCGAGCGGCCCGTGGGAGGTCCGCGTGCCCGTGTGCCCGGGCGTCCCGTCGGCGGGGGCGTGCTGCTCGGCTGCCCTCCGTCCCCTGGGGCTGCCGCCTGCCCTGCTCTCCCCCGTCGAGTTGCCTCTCCTGGGTCCTTCCCTGTGTCTCGGCATTTCCCAGTCCCTCGTGGCCTTCCGTGGTGACCGGCTCCGGCTGGGGGTGGGTGGGGATGGGCGCGAAGGAGCTGCCCGGGCAGGAGGGAGCCGCGCGGCGTGACTCCCACCGCCTGGGACCTGTTCCCTTGGGCCATCCTGAATACGCCCTGTGCTTGATGCTGTGGCCCATGCATTTAGAATTGTTTTGTTGCGATGTTTTGTTCAGAAAACCACACGTGGCGTTATGGTGAGTGGTGGGGGCAGAACTGACCAGTCATCTGGAAAAACCCACCGCTGAAGGGTGAGCTGCAGGTGGACCAGAGACACAAATGTCCACGAGAAAGAAAGCCCTGGGAAGGAACCTGGGAGAGAACGTGGTAGAATTCATTTCTAATCTTGCTTTCGGGAAGGTTTTCCTAACTCTCACTCAAAATCCAGACCCATAGAACAAATGATGGTGACAGAGGACACTTCTGGACCAAAGTCTAGCCAGGCTGCTCTGAGCCCTCTCCCAGCTGGGCCTCAACCTCCGCCTGTACGGACTTCAGCAAACACTACTGGTGCTTCAACCAGCTCCAGGCCACATCCCTAGGATGCCCCGGGCCCCTCCTGAAGGGCCTGCCTGAGAAATGTCACGTGTGCCAAGAGGGCGGACTGTGCGTTCCAGCCCACACCCGAGGACCGGCCTGGTCTCCCGGGCTCTGGGAGGGCCCTGGCTTTGTGGCATGGTGTCGGTTAGCCAACCCAGGTGCGTTTCCTGTTTCCTGCCAACCAGCCTGCCTTCCACCTTGCAAGGTCTCACTTTCTGGGCTACCGAGCTGGTTCAGCCGTGCTCCTCCCTCCCTTTCTCTTTAACATTTTTCCATTTTTTGTTCAGATAGAGTGGGGAGGGAGAGAGAGAAACATCGGTGTGAAAGGACACATCGAGTGGTTGCCACCTGCACAACCCAACCAGGGCTGGGGACAAACTGCAACCGAGGCACATGCCCTTAGCGGGAACCGAACCCGGGTCTCTCTGGACCACAGAGCCAAACTGGCCAGGGAGGGCTCTCCCTCTCTCTTTAAAGGCCCAGTCACCCCTGTGCAAATCCAAGGGCAGGTCAGTTTCCTGGGCTCTTTCTTTATGGCAACAGTACAGCACTGTTTATATAGCGTCCAGCTTAGTTTATCTCTGACAATGAAAAACAACCACTTCTGCTGGGCAAAAATACCAAGATCTTTACCAAATGGGAGAAAATGTTTTTGAAGTTTTATCACAGACTGATCTCCCAGGGCATAGAGATCAGCAGGAAAATGGACACTACCCTTGACTAGCAAGACCCCAGAGGAGGAACTCAGACATCTGCTGGATACGCACGGACTCCCCTCCCACTGCTAATCACAGAAATGCACGTTGAAGATGCGGGGTACTCTTTTGACTTCCTAGATTGGTGAAAATCCGAAGGATTGTTGAGGACACTTTCTGACAACACACTCACACTTCTCAGTGGTGGGAGGACAGGATTGCCAGTGACCAGGTGTAGTGACCAGGCAACTCTCCTCCGGATTGGACACACTCGGAACCTTTGCCTGTTGGTCCCAGTGCTGGGGAATTGTCCTGTAGTGTACTGCATATGTAAGAACATCTCGGACAGTCTCAGTTTCATTAATAAAATAAAAACACTGTAACCAAGTCATCTAGTCCTTAAAGGAGGCGCCGTAAACGCCCTGAGCTCTATCCAGGCCATGAAGGCTGCGCCACTGTAACAGCAGCAGCAAGAGAAGGGACTCTGCACAGTGCCGCCGAGGGCCGTCTCCGGGGAGGCCAGAGGGGAGAACGCCGGTGGAGAGCGGGCTGTGCCTGACGCTTTGGGCCCTGACAGGAGAACGTGGGACACACATCCAGACAGGCTTCTAGGAGAACAAGAAGGGATGAGGGTGGCAGTGGGGGACGGGGACATGCTCTCCTGAGGCAGGACCTAGAACAGACTCAGTGCCGGAACTCCACGACATGGCCAGGGCTGCCCGAGCCTGGTGGAGTGGGTGTCAAAAAGGAACATTCCGGAGGAGCTCAGGGACCCACACCGGAGGGGCGTGCTGGGGAACTCATGGGCTATGGGACCAATGGGCCCCCGGAGCAGAGAGCTGACCTCAGCCCCCCTGGTGTTGATGGCACCCCTGGCTTTTCTGGGCACCAGAGCACCATACCCGGGGGTGACCTGGGTGTTGGGTGGAGAGGTTGCTAGAGGGGGAGAAGGGAGGTACTGCTGGGTGGAAGGGCCCAGGGGTCCCCACAGAGCAGGAGCTGGGGCAGCTAAGGGGGTTTGGGGGTCCCTGGACCGCCTGCCTGAAAGGTGTGCTACCGTGGGGTGTGAACCCACAGAGCACCAGGGTTGGTGGGGTCCTTGGGGATGGAGGGAGCTCGGTAGTGGTGCGCGGCCACCAGACACCCACCGGGCACGCCCGGCTCCGTCCCATGGGTGACAAGCAGGTGGCTGCCCCAGTGCCCAGCGGCAGTGGCTGGGAACAGCAGTGGACACGTGGGCGCCAGGCTGACCAAGTGGCCCTGCCTCTCACGTCCAGGGCCAGGCTCCGCTGGAGATGACGGTCCTCCTTGTGTTCCTCCTGGCCGTGGGCCTGCTGCAGGTGGAGGCAAATGCCACCGGGGTGGAGAGACAAGGTGAGTCCCCGCGGAACACAGACACAGCAGGCCACGGTGCAGGCCGTGGTGCAGAACGCGGGAGTCAGGACGCGGGGCTGGGCCCACGGTGGGCGGGCGGAGCGACAACCGCGCTGGGGTCTCTGTCCCTAGAGCAGCAGCAGGTGAGATGCCAGGTGTGTGCAGGAGTGTGGGGCTCCTGTGAAAGGTGCGGGGGTGCTGTCTGTGGGTCCGTGTCCCTGCCGTGTTCTGGGTGTGGGTGCGCGAGGGGAGCTCGGGAGAGAAGACGAGGCTGGGGTGGGCCGTGGATGTGGAAGGACGGGCCCAGAGGAGGGAGAGCGTGGCGGGCGTTCCCCTGACAGGTCTGGCGTCGTAACGTTTTTCTTCCTTCCGTTGCTCCCTCAGGCACCCTGAGGTGTCATGTTTGTGAGGAAATCAGTACTGTGACATGTAGACGTGCAACTGATTGCGTTTCTTCTACGTTTCCAGGCAGTGCACGAAGTTTTGTCCAGTAATCAATGCAGAAGACCTCATTTTCAAGCCCTTCGTACTGGAAAAGCCTATGCCCTTCCTCTACGCTTCGTGCTGCAGGACGTCATTATGCAATACAGATCGGCCGGAGATCACTGACTCGGAGTGGTACTACACCCACAAAGACGAACCGCGAGTCACGCCCAAGGCCGGTGTGCCTGTGTGGAGCGGCAGCCCTGCGCTGGTGCTCCTCCTGACACTCACCTCCGTGTCCCTGGGTCTCAGACTGTCCCGAGCCACGGAGCCCTGCGGCTGGGCCTCCACCTGCAACGACGGGGGGCCCAGCAACGTGGAGCGCGACATCGTGCCCCCGGAGCCCATCGAGGAGGAGATAGAAAGCGCGGCGGTCCTGTGGAGCTTGGGAGCGTTCCTGACCTTTGCCTGCATCCTGGTCGGCGGGACACTGACCTGACAACCCTTCACCTCGGCGTCGGTCCGTCACCCCTCCGGCCTCAGAGCAGGCTCACTCCCCTTTGCTGTCTCCTGAACCAGAGACACGGCCCCCCACCCCATTGTGGAGTTACCCGCTTACGGCTTGTTGAAGAGAAAAATGAACGTTCCTGTTTGGGTGCCGCGTGCTCAGACCTCTCTGTGGTCTCCGTGTCTGATCTGTTTCTTCCTGTTTAACATCGCTTCACACAGCAACCAAAACCCTTGTTTCCCATCA